GAAAATGTAGGTATAAATCTTTAGGATCCTGGGTCTGGGGATGGTTTCTTAGATATGATACTAAAAGCAGAAGCAACAAAAGAAAAAATAGATAAATTGGACTTTATAAAATTAAAGACTTTCCTGCTTCAAAGGATGCTGTCAAGAAAGTAGAAAGCCCACAGAATAGGAGGAAATATTTACAAACTTGACAAAGGAATTATATTCAGAATATGTAAAGAACTCTTAAAACTAAACAATAAAAATACAACCTAATTTTAAAATGGGCAACATTTGAATAGACATTTCTCCAAGAAGATCTACAAATGGCCAATGAATACATGAAAAGATATCCAAATCAAAACCACAATTAGATATCATTTCACTTCTACTAGGTGAGGTATACTTATTTTAAAATGGAAAATAACCAAGTATTGGTAAGGAGATGGAGAAATTGGAACTCTCATACATTGTTGATGGGAATGTAAAATAGTGAAGATATTTTGGAAATCAGTTTGATGGTTCCTCAATATTCTACTTGCACGCGCGCATGTGTATAACATATATATAATATAAATGGAAACATATGTCCACACAAAAACTTATGCACATATGTTATAGTAGCACTATTCATAATATGTAAAAAGTAGAAACAAAACAAATAAATGTCTATCAGTTGGTGAATGAATAAACAAAATGTGGTATGTCCATTTAAAGGAATATTATTTGGCTATAAAATGGAATGGAAGTACTGATACATGCTACAACATGGATGAACCTTGAAAACATTATGCTAAGTGAAAGAAGCCAATCACAGACCATATATTATGATTCTATTTATGTGAAATGAACAAAGCAGGCAAATCCATAGAGACAGAAAGTAGATTAGTGGTTGCTTGGAGCTGTGGGGGCAGGAAGAGGTAATAAAGAATAACTGGGAATAGGTATGGGGTTTCTTTTGGGGGTTGTTAAAATGCCCTAAAATTAGGATGTGGAGATAGTTGCAGAGCTCCATGAATATACTAAAAACCACAAACTGCATACTTTAAGTCGATGTTGTATGGTATGCAAAATGTATCTCAATAAAGCCTTAAAAAAAAAAAGAACACCCAATGTATGAGTTCCCTATATATGAAGGCAACGCTAATAATCTGTAGTGTTTAGGTATGAATAACTGAGTATTAAAAGGGTAAGGAAATAACAGAAAATGATTGCCCTAAAGTTAAGATAGTAGTTAATCTCAAGGTTATGGATGAAAAGAATATGGGCAGCCACTGGCAATGTTTATTTCTTGACCTGGGTGGAGGGCCCATGAGTATCCACTTTGTATTTATGTTTTATGCGCTTTTCTTTATGGGTTAAGTTTCACAGTTTTAAAGATTTAAAAAGTAAAACTATAAAAAGTACTAGAAAAATATCATCTTTTCAAACATCAAGAAATCGTGAGGAAAGTGATAGATCTAACTACATGAAAATTTTAAACATGAACAGTGATAACTCTCAACAGTGGATAGGGTACAGAGAAATAGGTACTGCCACATGATGTGGGTAATGATGTCAACTTTAGGGCAACAGATATCAAAATCCTCAAATGTGTGCATACCCTTTAGCAAGAAGATTATTCTACATCTTAAGGAAATAATCAGATGTGAATAAAGACTTACCTAGAAGGATGCTTATAATACTAATACTGCATTATTTATAATAAAATTTTAAACAGTGTATTAGTAACTAAAACATCGGTTCATTCAGCCGTATATTCATTAAAAATTATATATAACAATATTTACTGACATTCAAAGATATCAGAATATACTAAGTTAAATGTCATTATAAAACAGTACATTCAATATTATTTTATCTTTTAGAAACATACAAAACAGATAATGTTGAAGTTATATATCAGAATGTTAACAGGGGTTTTCTTCACAGGAGTGAGGTAAGATTATGGGTGATTTCTATTTTTTCTGTTCTTTAAATGTGGCTTTTATAAGTTTCCCATAATGGAGGATAAAGTTACTTTTGAAAAGAAATAAGCAGTTGATTGTATGTACCCTTTATATGATGTGATGAAAATACAATCTCATCTCTGTGATCTTCCTCCACAAAACCCATGAGAAAAACATAAACATAAGAAAAACATCAAATTCCAATAGAAGGGCTTCCTACAGAATACTTGACCAGTATTCCTCAAAACTGTCAAGAGCATCAAAAATAAGGAAAGTCAAGAAGACTCTAGGGAAACCATGACTCCTAAATGTAATTTGGTATCCTGGAACAGAAAAAGGACATTAGGTAAAAACTAAGGATGGACATTAGTTAATAATAATGTATCGATATTGGCTCAATAATTATAACAAATGTACAATACTAATGTAAGATGTTAGTAGAGGAAAATGGGTGCCATATATATAAGTAATCTGTACAATATAAATTTTTCTGTAAATCTATAACTGTTCTAAAAAATAAAGTCTATTTAAAAAGGAGATCATATCTGAGTTAAAATTTTTACTGTTCTTCAGTTGATGATTCCATAAAATGTTAGAATATTGTGTGTGTGCGTGTGTGTTTGGAGAGAGAGAAAATGAACAAATAGCAGGCAGGATTTTTTTTAAGGTTACAAAGGAGCTCCTTGCAATACGTATATATAATTTTATATATGTGATATATATTGTGTAAGTCTGTTTGTATATAAAGATCTCACT